TATAATTACAAAAATATATTTATAAAATTCATATAATATAATATATATATAAGTGGGTCAATAACTGTCACGAAAAGGGAGTTCCATAAATAATTAGTTGCCCCGGTTGACTAATCTATCATGCTAATAATTAAGCCTGTACAAAAGCTAGTCTTCTGTCCAATCTTCACCATTAATTATCCAAATATGCAAAAGAATACATATATATATATATATAATAAAATAAAAAAGAAACAAAATTCACATCACAAAGTATCCAATTCGTTCATTTTTATGAATATATAGAGTTCTGTACAGAAGCAGCCTGATAACATATATATATATATATATATATAATTTCTTATCAGTATATGTAGCCAAAAATTATACTATTGATTCAGCTTAACTAAGGTATGAAGCTAGAAATATATATATATATATATAATTCCAATGACATAATATTTTTGTAGAAGAGTTGGGTAAGTCAATCCCGAGACCTTCTTCCGTCGAAATAAGAGGTGGCTAGCCGGAAGTAGTAATCTCAGATAATCTCAGGAGCTCCTCCAAATAATCAACTCCTAAATCCTCAAGTACCACCAAATGATTTTCCATCTCCTTTTCGTACGTCTCTGCAATTTTCTTCTTCTTGCTTCTTCCTCCTCCTCCTCCTCTTCTACTCCTCAAAGAATGAATCTTTTTCAACTCCAACACCGGCGAGCACCCTTCTTCAAACCCATACTTCATTTCTCGAAGCGATTCGTAGACTTTCTCCATCGGAAAATTCAAGGTGGCCATTGATCCTTTCAACGCAAATGCAGCTTGGTCATAAGCCAATGCCGCAGCCTCCGCCGTGTCAAATGTTCCCAACCAAACTCTCACGCCATTCCTCGTTGAATCTCTTATCTCCGCCGCGTATTTTCCCCACGGTCGCCGCCTTACTCCTCTGTACGACACTTCCCTCGTCCCCTCCTCTTCTACTCCTTCTTCTTCTTCCTCCTGTTTAATGGAGTTCATTTCGTTGATGTTGTTGGAGGAGGAGTTTGCGTGAGGAGGTTTGGGTTCTTGGTTGAGAAGTCCCAGGAGTAGCATTTCTTGGGAGTCGTTCTCGTCGAAGGGTAGAGTTTGGCTGTTGAAGTTACTGTTTGGAAATGGAAGAAGGTAAGTTGATGGTGAAGAATATGGATCAGAAGAGAAAAATGGGTAATGATGATGAGAAGAAGAAAGAGAAGAAGAAGAAGAAGAAGAGGAAGAAGAAGACGAATCCATATGATTGGTAGAGAAGGTTCTCTAGTGGGTTGGTCTAATTGAATGAAGAATATTTTGCAGTGTAAGCCTATATATAAGCAGAGAGAGAGAGAGAGAGAGAGAGTTCAGTGGGAGATTTTTTGTTATATTTTTATTTATAAATAAAAATTTTGGAGGTGACACGTAGTGAGGGAAGAAGGAGTGACAATGTGTGACGTAGTCAAATCTTGGTCGTTAGTGGGACCCACTTGAGGAGTTGATGCACGTGAGTCAAACTGACTCGGGGTAGGCGGCGGCCACGGCCAGGTCACGAGAATGAGATACTTTCCTATTTCTCCATCTGGCACGACCATTTAGGAAAGTATTTCCACGCAAGACTCTACATTTTACTTTCCTATTTATCCTCCCCCCCCCTGTTCCTTAGATTTTGTAGTAGTTTTAAGAATTATAATTTTATTTTATTCAAAAAACTTTTATAATGTTATATATATATATGTATACGTATATATGTCAAAAACATAATATAACATTGACATTTTTTTTCATTATAATTATATGTTGTAATATTTTCTTAATACTGTTGTACGGTAATAATATGGAACAAATGAATATTTTATTACTTATTTCTAAGTTTAATAAATTGAATTATGGAATAATTGTTTTACAATCCTCTTAAAAAATTAATTATATTGTACCATAAACTAATAATTATGAGTTCTTAATTAATTATTAAATTATAAATAAATTTAATTTTGAATCGAATTATATTTTTATATATTATCGATTTAAAAGTTGGGTTTTGTTGTTCCATGATTCGTGTGTTTAAATGAATTTTTACTCATAAAATTATAATTTTAAAATAAATAATGCTAAAAGCCATGTATCTTTATAATTAAAATTTTCAATGTGTAATTTTCTTTTATCCTTTTTTTTATAGTAAAAAACGTATATATTCATTAATTAAATTATATACGTACATTAATAATAACGCAACATAAATAAAATTCAAAAAAAAAATACACACAGAAACATAATATAATTTATATTTACAATCTCTTATTAAAAGAATCAACGTATCAACTATTAGATTAAATATTTTTAGTTGGTTAATTTCTTTTATTTTCGTTAGTTTTTGTTTGATTATGATTAACGAAAATGTTAATCATAATTAAGAAGAAAATCTCCAAGTAAATTAAGCAAGCAATTAATATGAACCCAACATCTTGCTTAGGCACAATCCCATTTTTTAAATAAATAAATAAATAAATAAAATCATAGTGATTATTCACTGTATTTAGTCTATGCAATTAATTTGACCGACCAATTTAATCATTAATATATACTTTCTCTTTAGAAATGATATTATATTAATGATCCATTTCAATAAGCGTAATCAGTAGTGGTAACTATGTGGTCCTTGCATACATTCAATTATATATTATATATCTCTGTATATGTTTATATATATATATATGTATATGATGGATTAGTACATATCTAAATTTTGTTTAATACCATATTAGCTGTATACGATTAACAATACATATCATCCAAATCACCCATTAATTTTTTTTTTTTAATGAATAGATTAGTTAATTAATTTGTATATATAGATAATTACGATCAGTATCATTACTTATTTTATATGCAAGTGTATGTATACTAGTCGTGTACAAAATGTATTGTAATTTTGTATATGTACTGTTTTTATCTTCTATAAATATTAAAGAAATTAATGATTCAGATATGATTCAATGTTTCAATACTTAGTTAATATTCATACACTATTATCGTTGAATTTAAAAAAAAAAAAAATTGGTTTTACGTGTGTATGTGTGTATATATATATATTTGAAAGCTAAAGTTGTAAGCTTGGTGTACATATATATTAATGTTAAATAAAGCTATCCACAAAAATTTCTACTTTGAAATTTCATGAGCTAAATTGATATTAATTGGAGAGTGCAAATAAAGAATATATGTACACATATATACGGACGTATATGCATATATATATATATATATATATATATATATATAGGGGGTATAAATTCGAACCCAAGGCTTCCTTTAGTTCTCAAAATTTTATTAGATATAAAAAAAGAAAATTACATAAGTAAATTTTTATGGCCACTAATGCCTAGCACTTCAGAGTGACGGTACATACATACATATATATATATATATAATTAATTTGAACTAATTAGCTAAGTATATTATTATTCCTAATAATCAGTACGTAGCAGTCGATAATTGATCTGTAAATTAACCATTATTAATTACTATGATCATGTCCTCAAAACAATTTTCCATGTCCAAAAGCAATAAAGCACGTGGCGGCCATGCATATACATATATAGATATATGTATATATGTATATATATGCATATGAAACTTGTGATAAATGAAGCATTTATCTTTAAGTAGCACTATATCTATATATGATTAAAACGAAATTATAAAAAAACACAAACACAAGAAGAGAAAACAAGAAGGAGAATATAGCTACTACCCATATATGTATATAAAAAATCCGAATGTGGTAAGAAATGATGATTGGAAATCTATCAAACATGATCTTTCGTTAATAGTAAATAGCCATGAGCTCCATCAAACATGATTTCATTCTTCCTTGTCTTATATTTGTCGGGTTTGGATTTTGATGAACCCGTATAACGAGGGATATAAATGATCGTAGTTCTCTCGTAAATTTACTATTCTCAACATTTTTTTATAAGAAGTTAGAGAATTTCAATCGAATTATGTATGTATATTAAAGTTATTTTTTATTATATTATAATTGATATATATATATATATATCTAATTGATGAATGTATAAATTTTTACTAAACTTCTTTTAAAAAATATAGTTTTTAAAAGTTGGTCGTTACTACTATTACCAATGTCATTATAATTAGATGTTAAGAATTATTAATCTGGTCTTAATTTTAAATTTTATGATGTCAAATTATGTATAGAAATAGTTCAAAATATATAATAAATAGATTTTTAAGACTCTCTCAATAAACGTTATATTCTTTATACTTTCACTCATATTTTTTAAAATTTGAGCATTCTTCTTATTAGTTTTTTATTGATTTGAGTTCAGAATGTCTTTTATAAAATAAAACTCGGCAATTTGTAGTTTGTTCATTTTTAGTAAGTATATGTACTCGTTGGTTCAAAACTAGATCCAATTGAGGTTTGGGGTCCGGACCAAAAGGTAGATAACTTTAATTTCAATCCAATAAAATGAGAATTTATTAATCTTTTTAACATTTTCTAATTAGTAAATTGATAAAAATAATAGTAATCGACTTTTATTTTTTTGTTTTTTTTTTGGTATTTTTAATCCAAATTGATTCATTTTGGTTTAGATCGGAATGGAAAAAAAAAAGGACCGAAGTGTTTATATTGAAAATTATTTGATATGGTTCAATTCTAAATCATTCAGTCTGTTTTTTTCAATATACTACTATAAAAAAAAAACTAAAACACACACGACTACTTCAACTTTTAGTCTTTCCTAGAATATGTATAACATGCAATTTTTATACATATTAGCAATACATATCAAAGAAAAAATTATTTAAACCATAGCCTTATATGCACAAGGAGGATCTCTTGTTCTAAAAATGCCATTGTGATCTTAAAAGTATGCCCTTATTCATATCATGAAAAACTACCTAAATCTTAAGCCTCCAATCTTTTTACTCAAGCACATGTCATCCCAAGAATATATAATAAACTTATATATAAGTGTTTACGTCGCATATTATTTGATCTGATTCAACTTCAAATCATTCAATTTGGTTTTTCAATCTACATCTATATAAAAAAAAAACTAAAACACACATGACTACTTCAACCTTTAGTCTTTCCTAAAATATATATATGACATGCAATTTTATACATATTAGTAATACATATCGAGGAAAAAATTATTTTGACCGTAGCCATATATGCACAAAGATGATCTCTTGGTCTAAAAATGCCATTGTGATCTCAAAAGTATGCCCTTATTCATATAATGCAAAACTACCTAAATTTTAAGCCTCCAATCTTTTTACTCAAGCACATGTCATCCCAAGAATATATAATAAATTTATATATAAATAAACTTCTCTACTATTTTCCTAGGACCTTAAAAAATTGCATCCAATTTATTTATTAATAATATAAGAATATGACTTCTTGTAAAAGTTTAATACGTATCTTCAGATAAATTTTTTTATAAAGTATAATTATAGTCTACTTCCATAACTAAAAGAATTTTTTTTTTATGAAACTGATTTATATTTAATTTTCTAATAAAACTCTTTTTAATTTTTTCTTATATATATATATATATATATGCAGATACTGCAAATTAAGTATCATGAATAAAAATTCAATAAACAAAATAATTATTTACAAATTTCAAATAATATTTTGAATAGAGAATAAGATATAAAGATTTATATGTATAAATGTTATATTTTTTTAAGAGGTGATTTTGTTTGAACATAAAAGAATGATATTTTTCTCTATATGACTCTCCCTCATTGACTTTAGCTTGTTTAAATATTTTTAATTACTTAAATATAAGACTGTTTATCAATTTACGATTAGACCAAATTACAGACCGAGTAAAAGTAAAAATTTAAACTGAAGGGCGAACTAATATGTTTTTATCTTATATAGTCTAAATTCAGGTAAATTAATTTTTTTAATTAAAAATTAATAAAAATATATAAAAAATAAACATTATTTTTTTAATTTTTATTTTTGGTGTTCTCTATTCAAATTGGTTCATCTCGATTTAAGGCATGACCGAATCGAAGACTAGATTAAATAATATTTGATATAATTCGATCTAATTTTTCTATACAGATCAAGATTTTAAAACCTATAATTATCTAAATGAAGCATTTTTTTTACACTATCAAAATTATCAACATTGAGAACAAATTGAACAATTGATGTATATCATTAGCAATCACAAATTTTCATGATGTACGTGTGTGTGTGTGTATATATATATATATATATAATGCCTGTGTGTGTATATATATGTGTGTGTATATATATATATGTATAGCGGGAAGCATATCCGTCGGCAGTTCGAAATATCATTTTCTTTTCCAACCTAATGAATCATAAAGGCGTGCACGTATGTTTCTAAAGTATATACATATAAACGTCATTCCCATTGAAAAATCTAAAAGAAAAAGAGAGATAGTATTGAAATGCTTTATATACATACACATAATATTATATATATATATATATATTATATAAGATAGGACTAACGACGAATAGGTTAGTGCCTTGCCTCAAGGCCTTTTTGTATTTTAATTAAAAATTATAATATATATTATTTCTTTTGCATTTATCCATTAATTACCTGTACAATATTGACCCCGACCCAACAACCCTAGCTATGCCCTAAACACCTCTATTATTTTTCTCTCTCTCTATATATATATATGTATATTTGTATAAAATATATGTGAGAATACATCTATATATACACATCTACATCTATATCTAACAACCCTTGAGTTCTGAGTGTCTTACAAGTTTAAGAAGGTATCATTTTTTTTTTTTTTTTAACTAAGAGGCAAGTTATCTGTATATACTATATACCCAGTTACTGATTTATATATAATACGTAAGAAATATGTATATATGTATGTGTATGCATAGGTTTTAATCCAAAAGGTGGTCAAGGTATGAATATATAAATAGTAAAAAGGTTTAAAGTAGAGGTTAGGGGGAGGATATAATGAGCTTGTCTCCATTTGGGGTGGTGAACCCAACTAAAGATATATATATTTTTTCAATTAAATCAATCAAAGTTTCCAGAAGTTTTTGAAAGTCATTAGAAAGATTTTTCCTGTATATAGTCAATAGATATATATATATATATATATATAGATTTTCACACACCCACATTCACACACACATATATATACATATATATGGTTGCTAAGAGGGGTAAGTGATGCTAAACCAAGAAAAAATTAAAAATATTTTTACCCAAAAAGTAAATATAACACGTGTTTCATAGTTTTAAACATATATAATTTAAAAATATATATTTAAAAAAGTTTTCTAACATTTTCTTATAAATTTTATCCAATATAAATATATGTATATATTATGTCCAAAGAAATAAATTATAATTTAAGTACAGAAATAAAATAAATAGTTAAGATTTATATTCCATACAAATAAACTTAAAATCTCAAATATTAATACGAGAATTAACTTTTTGAAGGAAATAAAAAAAAGAAAATAAATAAAACTGGTATCCTACTCGCAACCATCTTGTGGATCGAACTCTGTATCTTAGTTCTCTTGATCTAAAATAGTTAAATAAAGAATAAACTATACTATCTCAGTAAGAATATTACGATACTCACCGACACAGAAATGAAGGTTGGTAAAAAATCAAAACAACTAATGGAACACGTAATTAAATAAATATATTTCTTAATAATAAAATTATTTACCATCCACTTACCGTAGCGAGATTTACAAAAGCTACCTATATAGACAACAACATAACACTTATCATGATTTCATATGCAATTGGTAACAAGCACACATTATAATTTCACATTTAATGAATCAAACAACAACCTTTCCTTTTATTGGCCTACTAGCATCCATGAGGGTTCATAGGGATATCCCTGCTATCTGTAAACAATTTCTTTCAATATTCTCAATTAAAGGACCGTCCCCATACCTCGTCCGGTATGAGCGCCATATAATCAAGTTCGATACTTCGTCCAGTATGAGACAACGTTCACGGTAGAATTTTCTATTGTACCCGGTCCGTCAACAATCTCCCAAGATATCCAATAAGACTGCCGTTTCATCCATTCACTTAATCATATAGTTCCCATTTACCTTTAATCTCCAGTTTCCTAATTCAGTTGTAACCACATAAACAAACAAACATGCATCAGGGAATGCAATCATATCTCGATTTTTCAATTCAACATTAGTCACATAAGGCAACAATAGATGCATTTACAACCATAAAATTGATAAATAAGATATTATTATACATTTAAATTGTAAAATAATCGACCGAAATCAACAGGGAATAAATTTTAATTCTGGCTCCATTAGTAATCCGTAGTTAATTATAAATATTTTTTAAGTTTTAGGAAATATCATATTATTTGAAATTAAACTTCAATTCCATAACAGAGAATAGGGTGAGAGATTCTTACTCAATTTGATGCCTGAAAAGGCTAAACTGTTGACTGCACCTACTGGTGGTCTCCTGATTTCCTGTAATTTTCTTTAGGAATGAAAACGCGCTATAAGTACTTATAAATGTTCGAAAAAAATCCAAAATTAGCCTCAGGTCCAATTTTGGCCAATTTCAGAATTCTAGCATGGCACCGGTCCTCTTCAAGTCGGTTGTTTTCTGCCAAATTCAGCCAGTTTTGCATCGATACATGCGAGAAAACACGTTAAGGGGCCTCGGTTGGCCGAAAAAATATAAAAAACCGAAACTTACCGGCATCGGGGCTCTCCGATGCGGTGGCTCCTTCGGCTCACGTTGCGGTTGGGTTGTTTTGCTCCGGTCAACTTGTAGAGAAGGTAACGGTAATCACAGTAGTTGAAAAATTACGCCGAACGAGAATATGGAAGGTCTCATTGAAAAGCGTTTTGTAAAATTTTCTGCGGCGGCACCGTCAGACTTTGCTGCATTTTTCGGCCAATCGGGCAGTCTTTTTACTTTGATTTGGCATGAAGGTGTTTAAAATTAAATTCCGATCAAATGAATTTTTTTTTACCTCTTTTGGCGGTCGAAAAGGGCTCCGGTGCGGCGTCGGATGGCGGCGGCTCTTCTTCCCGGTGGCTGGGTCTTCTTCTCCAGCGAGGGTGGTCGGCGGCTAGGGTTAGGGTTTGGTGTAAAGAATATTATTTATATCCATTCTCATTTAATATGAGCCGTCCATCGCGTTTGATCTGAACCGTCCGATTGCGATTAAATAGAGAGTGAATCTGAACCGTTCATTGCGATCTAATCTGGACCATTCATCATGATCTAATTTGGACTGTCTGATTGCGTTTAAATTTGGCTGTCCAATCGTGTTTGGGGAGGAAATGCATCCAGGTCGTCCGTGCGCGTGAGAACGAATTTGGGCTGTTCGATCGCGGGCACGCAGATCGCCCGCGTGGCCTCTCGAGTGGCACTGCATCAGCATCCGTTGCCACGCGGCACGTCTTGCTTCGTCAGGGCTGTTGACCGGGCATCTTACGTGGCAAAATTTTTCTAAATTACATTTTGACTCCGATTTTTCGATTTTTTTTTTTAAAAAATATCTTAAAAACTCAAATTTTCACCATTTTTTTTTTCAAAATTATTTTCAATTTAATTCTCCATTACATTTCTTTCATTTTTACACTAAATTAAAATAAAAAAATAAAAAAAATTATATTTATAATTAATTTAATTTACAATTAAATTAATTGGGCATTACATACTATACATAATGCATAATATACAATATACCCAATTGTATATAATATAAATTATAAATATATATTGTGTCTATATAACTGTATTATGAGTTAAATTTTTAGTTTATGTTTGTTGAAAAATTATTATATTATTTTTATAAAATAAAATATTTTTATTTTTTAAAGAAATTAATATTTTGTGCAGTTATTTTGATTAAATACATAATAATTTATCTTTAAAAAATATATATTTTTCACTTAATAATAACCGTTAAGCCCCGATACTTTATCTAAATTATGTTAAGGCCCAAAACTATAATTAATTCTGATTATCACCCACTTCATCTCAGGCCCAGAAAATATCTTACAATTCTGGAATATTTACAGATAAGGTGCACTGTACGAACCTCTTCTCCTTCCTCACTCACTCATCTCCTTCTTCTGCTTCTTCTTCTTCTCACCATGCTTTCTGTAACAACAAACACCTTTAAGCTTATCATCTCTTCACCAATACACAGCACCACCAACTTCCTAACAACCCATCAACCTCCATCCCCAAATCTGAAACCGTCTCTTCGTCCTATCTCTGCAACTCTCATTCCTGCCCCAACCCCACCATCGAATCAGCAACAGCAACTCTACCAACCATTCAGACCTCCTCCTTCTCCGGTTCCTTCCCAGTTCAAATCCCTTGACGCCGCTGGCCGTCTCGACGTCCTCGCCAGCCGCCTCGGCCTCTGGTTCGAGTACGCCCCACTTATACCTTCCCTTTACCAGGAAGGCTTCGCTTCTCCTTCCATTGAAGAGTACACTGGAATCTCCGGTGTGGAGCAGAATCGCTTAGTGGTCGCTGCGCAGGTGCGGGAATCTTTGGTTCAATCAAACACTGATCCAGATTTGGTTGCTGAGTTCGACACCGGCGGGGCTGAGTTGCTCTACGAGTTACGGCTTCTGAGCGCCGCGCAGAGAGCTGCGGCTGCGAGATTTATTATTGAGAATAGGTTTGATGCTAAGGGTGCTCAAGATCTTGCTCGAGCGATGAAGGATTATCCTCGTCGTCGTGGGGATAGAGGGTGGGACTTTTTTGATTATTCTCTTCCTGGTGATTGTCTTTCGTTTATGTATTACAGGCAGAGTAGAGAGCATCAGAATCCATCGAGTGAAAGAACAGCTGCGTTACAGCAGGCATTGGAAGTTGCAGAGTCTGAGAAAGCAAAGGGTGAGGTGAGTAGAGAATTGGAAGGGGATAGTGAGAAAAAGGGAGGAAAAGAAGATGGGGTTGAAGGTACAGTTCGTGTTCCTGTTGTGAGGATGAAGATTGGAGAAGTTGCAGAAGCCAGTTCAGTGGTGGTATTACCTGTTTGTAGAGCAGAAGAGAGCGAAGCTGAGTTATTAGAAGTACCATGGGAGTGTAAAAGTAAAGGAGAGTTTGGGGTTGTAGTGTCTGAGAAAGGATGGAAGAGGTGGGTGGTTTTGCCAGGATGGGAACCAGTTGCAGGGTTGGGAAATGGAGGAGTAGTGGTGGCATTTGGGGATGCTAGAGCTCTGCCATGGAAGACAAAGAGGTGGTACAAGGAAGAGCCTGTACTGGTTGTCGCTGATAGAGGGAGGAAGGAAGTGAAAGCTGATGATGGGTTTTACTTGGTGAATGTTGCAGATGATAATGGTGCCGGATTGAAAATTGAAAGAGGATTATCATTGAAAGAAGCTGGAGTTGAAGAGAGCTTAGGCACTGTGGTTCTGGTTGTTAGGCCACCAAAAGAAGAAATTGATGATCAATTGAGTGATGAAGATTGGGAATGAGATCAAGATCAAGATCAGATTTTGAATTGTTAATCTTTCATTACCAGGCCAGATTGGTACTGGGTGTCATAATGAATTTGTTAAACAAAGGTGAAAACTTGAAGGTTGGATTCAATCACATTAAGGTTTACTTGCTTGCCCTGTAACAGGGTTTTTGTTTCATAGGGAAGCAACTTAGTTTTTGCTTTGTATCTAGCTTGTAATAGATAATATTGATTTGGGTTCACTAAAATCCTTGTCTTTGAGTAAATTAAGGTTTAAAGAATTGCTTTTGATATCCCTAGTTTCTTTACAAACTCCACAATCCCAAGCAATCTAGTGGAGAAACATTGTCAATCTCAAGCAATCTAAGTGGAGAAACACTGTCAGCTTCAATGGAGTTGAAACGGGAAGATATCGACTCTACTAAAGATTTCTCTATATGAGAGGTTTATTGTCCTGAAATATATTTATATAACCAAAAAGCTCAGGAGATAAACGATAAAGTGTTGCCAAGAAGCACAAAACAGAGATTCTCCCACATAGGGTAAAATTGTTCAGAACATTTGGCTCTGATATCATCATAATATTCATTTTTAGATAGATATCTTTTTCTATCCTTTGTGTCGTTGTTACACTTTTATATCATAAATTACTCATCGATATAAAATAAGTATGATTTGAAGTACATTCCCTAAAATTCAGAAACAGATGTTGAAAATTTTGGAACAGAACATGGAAAATTTAACAAAGAGCATTACAGACTCTTATTTGATCAAAGTCAACTGGGCACCACATGGTTGCACTCACGCCCCGCAACCTTGTTTCATCAGAAATTAAACATAAGTAATTGCACATAAGATTTATACATAGATATAGATATATAGAAGTTAATTTGTTTTTTCACCTTCATATTATAACCTTAAGGCAGCAAGAGGAGAAACACTCTTGGTTCCTATAGATTTGAAACTATGCAGATAGTCCTTTACTGTAGTTTCCCCATAGAGAGGTGGATTATCATCTGATAATAATTCCTTTATAGGCCCATAAACTCTCTCTGATGGTTCAAAAAGTGTTGTGAAGAAACATGACAGAGAAATTCTTGGTCCATTTGATTTAGCCATCACTCTGTGCTCTGCACTTTTGAACCTGTCATTACTGATTAGCTGCATATCCAACCATTTGGATGTTAGAAAAAAATCAATCTAGAACATGGGTTATACCTTATTTATAGGCGTGAAATGTAATTTTATATGTTTTTTGACTTAATTATCTCAAAAAATCCGATTCACTAGTATATATTCTAAATCAGATCGGATTGGAATGGACTAGATCAAAATTTTCCATCCTGGAATAAAGACTGAAGGAAAGATTTTGGGTTGAGTTGGGGTTAGCATCTATTTTGGAAAAATGAAGAAAAAATTTTCAGAATGATGTATATGTACCTGTAAAAATTCTCCATTGTTAACAACTAAAGCTCCGTCCTCTGGGATGACATCAACCCAATAATTGTCTTTAAGAATTTGCAGGCCGCCAATATGATCTTGCAGAAGAATTGTGAGAAAATCAGGATCACAATGTCTGGCATGGCCGAGGGTCCGGTCGGGTTCGGGACAAGGCGGATAATATTGACCGTAAAAGACATGCCCTTCAGTACATCCCAGATCTGTTAGGTAACTGGGTTTGAGCCCTAATGCCTCTGATAATAATTCAAACAGTGTTTCCCCAAGTCTCTTAACATGGTCTGAGTATTCCATCAATATTTCTCTGTAACACATGTATATTGTCTTAGTGCTTATCCAAAAATTCATGTAGCAGTGACATTTTCTACAGGTTATTGAGAGTGCATGTAAAAATATATATAAATATATATACCTGCAAACTTCAGGATACTCTTGAGGAGGTGGAGGATTAGGAGCCATGACACAAACCAAGGTGTCCCTCCAATTAGCTGCTTGTGAGTCATAAAGATCGAAATTACATACAAATCGAACCTTGTTCTCGAATCTTTCTCGCGAATAAAACTCTCTCTTTATCTCTTTATTTTGCTCATTGAAAAGTCGGACACCTTCGATCATCTTGTCTATGACAGTTTGAGGAATATCATGGTTTATGATCTTGAAAAATCCCCATGTCTCGGATGCTTCTTTTATGTTTTCGACAATTTGTTTTCGCTTGAGATTATCGCAGTTCATGTCTTTGAGGTCTATGACTGGAACTCTTATGTTAGGATCTTCATTAATATTGTTAAATATGTCTTCTTTTGGCATTAGAAAGATCCGAGGGACTGTCGTTACGCCAGCATCCACGAGTCCTTTCACGCCATCTTTCGTTTCGTCAAATTCTTTTATCGCAGCTTCTCTGTCAAAATCCATGTCCGTTTTCTCGTGTTGATGTAAGATATCTGCATCTTGAACAACTGATTCTATAAAATCAGTCAAATCTGTTAACTCAAAAACTTAAATTACTTATTAAAATATAACTCACACCTAATTTTTGGTAAGACAGAGACATTAATTCTTATCAATATCAATACACAAAATTACAAGATCTTGCTAATAAAAAGGGCAAGGAGATTTTCTTATTAACATTCTCGAATTCCTGCTATTGCCTGCTATTGCTATGCATATATATATATATAGACAGAGAGATACCAACACCAACACACACACACACACCCACATATATACACAAAGAAAGGAAAGTATATAACTTTGATATGTATCATACCTGGCTGGAAATCAGACATGGGTCTTCTTCTCTTGTTCTCTTTCAGTCCGTATGAATGTCTAGTTTGAACCTGAGATCTGTTAGGTTATATATATATATAGGTAAGTTCTATATATATACAATCATCTATACAGATGCTAAAAGACCTGCAATTGAAGTCCACTGATGATGTTCTGGTACTATTCGAAAAGGGCTTTTGAGGGAAGAAAGTGGGAAGGAAGCTTAAACCTTAAGTATAAAGATACGGAAAAAGTCCAAAGATTCATTATTATATGTTTTGATAATCACCAACTTGTAATAATAAGTTGGCCGAGCCTGCTTGACCTTAAAGAAACAATAAATCTTAATTCACAGCTGAGATTATAAACACAAACAAGGTTTACATATATTCGGAGTATAAGGGTAAATTACACGCTATGAGTTCATGGTATACGAAGAGCGGAGTTTAATATTCGGGGTTAAACCTATGTACGAACATTAAATAAGTCACTCGAATTGATGTACACATCTTTGAGTGATCCAACTCATGAAATGGGTCCGAGAGCAAGCATTCTATATGATAAATTTTATTAATTAAAGTAATTATAATGAATTAAAAAAATAATATATATATAAATATATATAAAGTGAGTGTTTGTTAATTAATTAATTTAATAAAATAAAAAATTAAAAGAAAAAATAAGATCATGAAAATGACTGTCACTTCTCTCTCCTTACATGGATGGAATTTTTACATCCTTTACTTTTTTTTGTCTTTTATTTACTTTTTCTACATCATTAATGAATATGATACTTATTCTAATTTTTTTTTTTTTAACAAAAAAGTTATTTCAATTTCATGGAATCCTCGTAGATATCACTTTATTTCATTCTCATTTGTCAATTTAATTTCATATATATATATATATATAATATTTATAATTATTATTATCATGAACTATATATATATCTCTGCAACGTAAAATATAATGATTAAATTTTATATAAGAATTTAAATCACACGTTATTAATTATTTAAATTTAAATTTAAGTTTTAAAAAATTAATTATTTTTAAGTACAACAACTTTCATACCATATCGCGTAGTAAAATTTTTTTATAATCTTAGCTCGAATAATCAAAAATTCATCTCAATTAATTAACTCATTTTAAGGTATCAATTAATTAATTAGTTTTAGTGATGCTTTACTTAAACTAGTAGATTTTGAATTGTTTTCTATATATTTGTATACATATATATATATATATATATTATATGACCACTTTTGGGTTGTGTGTTGATGAAGAAATAAAAGTTGATGCCAAAAAATCTTCACTTTTAATTGAATTTATAATAACTTATTTAGCATTTTTACCATGCTTAAACATTAATTCTACTCCTCAATTATTGTTAGTAAAGTCAGTGCTTATAATCATAATTTACCTACATTAAAGAATTAAGTAGAATCTCATCATATCTGAAAATTATAATTATAACATATACATACAAAAATTTATATATTTTCAATAATTAAGGGACAGTTTTATATCAACTCATATTACAATAATATTTTTTTTTTTATATATATATAACATATAGTTTGATCCAACTATGCTCTTTATATCATCATCGAGTCGAGAGATGATTAATAAACTCATATTTAATATTTAAAGACATATATGTATTAATAACGATACAATTAATAATATCACATGTTTTTAATAAGAACACATAAAATTCAAAGTTTGAATCCGATGTGCAATCTTATGGAAAAGTATAGAAATATGAACTTTTCATAACATTGTTATCCTTTCTTGCTAGCTTATCCTGTGTTTGTTTCCTGAGAAAATCAGGTCCAGTGAACCAAGAACTAGAAACTTTGCACTGTTTTCCTCCACAACTTCCATGGTTTTTTTTTTTATAGTTTTATGATCTCAAAGGAGATGCCAACAAGTGCAGAGATGCCAACTCCTTCAAGGGCCATATATTTTGTGGGATGGCTCAAAATATGTTGTAAAGAAACACATGTTACAGATGTTCTTGGCCCTTTGCAATTACCCAAAACTACTCTGTGCTCAACACTTTTCATCTTGTTGTTGCTGATCAGCTGTAAAAATCAAAGGGTTTAAGGATTAACCCAAAAGAATCAATGAGTGAAAGAAGGAAAACAAGTACTTCACTTGTTTGTTTAAATGCCCACGTGAAGAGTTTTCTAAGTTTCTCAGATCAGAATCAATGGAAGCTTTCTCTAGATTCTGATTTCATGAGTTTCTCAAGTTCTTTGCCTCTGTCGTAGTCTTCTGCATTTGCAGTACAACTTTTAGCAGGTAAAAGATCCATTTCCTTTTCTTTCTGTATCATACTAACCAAGAATTCTGATAAAACCAGATCAAAATTTTGAACATCATAAATCTAGAATCTCTTCTATGCAGGTGATGGCTTGACTCTGAAATTATCAGGTCAACAATGTCTATAATATGGAAAGTTCTGTTTTCCCCTTGGCCCCAAGAATCCAGAACAGACAGAAGAGTAAACCGAACCACAATAAAATAAATATAAATTCCTTAACTCAGCCACAATGGAATATCTTGTTGGAGACAAATTTAATGGAAAATCTTATCATGTTTCTTTCAATGTTAATTAAACGCGAAGATATACCTTGATCGATTATAATATAGAATAATAGATTAGAAGCTTTCTCAATATGTCAAGTTTTTAGAATAATTAGTCACTAATTTTGTTGAGAGGTGATGCTTGGCGAGTAAGTTGCAAAAAAGATTGAAACAGTTATCTTATGACGAATCATTCATAACCGAAATACAAATGGAAGAGACACTTTGAAGAACAAGACAAAAATGATGATGCATAACTTCCTCAAGAGGTTTAAACGAGGCCCAAAGCCAAAGCCAGGTCTTGGTTGCAATTTCCCATTTGCTGAGAGCTGATCAATGGCAAAAGGTGAGATTTTTTCATTTCGAGCTTTGTTTCTTTTGCAAGTTTGAATCTTGATTAGCCTTCCGAAGCACAAAATGAACAATTTATGGTTGACATCTCATATGGAAATTTTATTGCAATTCTTAGCATTGATGGTGGGGAGTAAGAGGCATTATTCCCAGCATGGACAACCCTAAATTTTAACGTGCTTAACACTCAGTTTACGTCTTTTTCATATCTCATATGATGTTGTAAAGACTGACTTAGTGTGTAATTTATTTAATAAATATGCTGCAGTTTCTAAAACATATCCCAATAAATTAATTGGAAGATCTGTAACCCCCATCATTGATCTCACTATATCTAATAAGGTTCAATTTCTTCTTTTGGATACACCATTGTGTTGTGGTATTCCAGAAGGGGTCCATTGTGATAGAATTCCATTCTCTTTGAGATATCTAGTAAAATTATTACTAAGATATTCTCATTCTCTATTAGATCTTATAACTTTAATGCTTTTGTAAGTCTATTTCTCAACTTCATTATGGAATCTTTTGAACATTTCAAAAGACTCAGATTTATGTTTCATAAGATACACAAATCCATATCTTAACATATCATCAGTGAAGTGATAAAGTAAGAATATCCTCATCTAGCTTGAGTTTTCATGGGGCCACAAACATCAGTATGAATTAGTTCCAATAATTTAGAAGTTCTTTCTCCACTTCTAACAAATGGAGATTTGATCAATTTTTTTTTGAGACAAGATTCACAAGTTGGATATGATTCATAATCATATTTGTTAAGGTAGTATTCTTTGTACTACTTGCTTATTCTTTTCTCTCCAATATGACCAACTATACAAAGCCAAATATATGTATAATTTACTTGATCATCTTTTTTTCTTTTAAGACTAGAAACATATAAAACTGAGTTTTCATTCATATCAGATAAGACATAAATACCATGTTGGAGATAACCATTTGCATATAAATCATCATCATGGTAAATAGAACAAATTCCATAATTCAAAATAATACAAAAACCATATTGGTCCAAAAAAGATATTGAAATTATGTTCAAAATAAATTTTAGAACTTAACAATAATCCTCCAACAAAAATACTTTGCCCGTACGCATCATAAGAGAAATTGATCATACAGCTAGAGCTACAACTTTTGCACAATTCCTAACTTGAAGATTAACTTCTCATTTCTTCAATTTTCTGTTAATCTGCAGTCCCTGCAATGTATTACAAATGTTAAAATGACTATCGGTATCTAATACCCATATAGACGGATTAATAGAAGTTAAAGAAATCATGAAAACAATTTTCATTAAGGTCATACCTTATTTCTTATCTTTTAGAGATGCAAGATACTCCTTGAAGTTTCTCTTTCAATGTCCTTTCTTCTTACAGAAGAAACATTCAACATCAGATTGGTCATTTTTTGCCTTACCTTTGGGTTTGGTCACAACACCCTTAGGTGCAACAGACTTTTTATGTTTTTTTTTTATCCTTATTCTTCCTTTTAGAGGAGTTACCAACCAACATGACAATTCCTTTCTTCTTCTCAGATGCAATTTGATTCCTATAATCAATTAACATATTGAGCACTTCATGAAGATCACAATCCATTTTATTCATGTTAAAATTAATAATAAATTGTGAAAAAGACTCAGGTAGTGACTGTAAGATCAACTCTTGAGAAAGTTTTTTACCTAGTGTACACCCTAATTTTTGAAGTTCTTCAATAAGACCAGTCATATTCAAAACATGGGGCCTAACTAGAGAGTTAACAGTCAGTTTAGATCCAAACAAAGACTTAGATAAGTGGTATCTGGCTATCCTGCTTTATACACCATATATCTTCTTTAGATGATCAATGATTGCACGGGGATCCATATCCTCATATTTCCTTTAAAGTTCAAAACTCATAGAAGCAAAAATAATACATTTGGCAGTAAGACAATCTGTTAAGTATTTTTGAAAATTCTTGACTGCCTCAGCATCATCCTCAGGTGGGGGTCTCTCTGGCAGACTTATCGATTATATCAATAAGTTTTTCATACATGAGAATAATTCTCATATTTCGGTACCAGTCATTAAACTTTGGTCCAATCAACTTGTTAGCATCAAGTATGCCACGCAGTGATATGACAGTTATATTAAGAAATCTGGAATTAAGAAAAGAAAATGCAATAATATGATAACACATTTGCATATATCATAAAGAAATAGACTTTTATCTAAATGATATTTTCACTAAATAAATTAAACAATTTTAAGAAATCTATATTTCAATTAGTAGAATAAAGGAATCATCTAACAATATAAATGAATTACTTGGTAGTCAAGTTAATTCTTACACATATTTTAAAGGTAGGTGCTCTTACCAATTTTATCCCTATACAACTTTCATGAATTACTCTATACCAAATAGTCTCATTGTAACGACCCCGGAAATTTAAAAGGAAATAGATATATTTATTCTAAGTG